CAGACAATGTTAATGAGACATGTTTTTGCCTACAGATTGGTCCAGTTGAAAACAATTGCACTACTCAGTTGTCACAGTGAGCAGTACATAAGGCTGTGGGACAGTGACTGGGTCATGTCTATGAAGACCTATTTGACATCTGAAACCATCATTTGTGAACTGGAAAACATTGCTCCTCAGAATTGATCCCATGAAATTTGCATATGAGTCACAGAAATAAGCACAAGGATGGTAGCTGCAGCAATGTTCTAATAAGTAAAAATCTGTATATTAATGTCTAATAAAAAGAAACTAACTATATAGTGGTATTGCCATCCAGTGGAAAGTATGTGGCTACTGACACAAACAACACATATAGCAAGATGTCCAAAAGCATGCTAATAAAAGTAAGTTTCAGGAGAGTCACACAATAGGATCCTCAGTAGGTTAAAAATTAGATGTAGTCAAGCTTTTAGAGATATCACTTTTTAAAAATCATTACTACTTTTAGGTTTCTTATGTTAATTCACCAGCTAGGACTTCTAATGTAATGTTAACTACAAAGTATTAACTGAATAGTTCAATATCGTCTTGAGATTTGAGGGACTGGGAAGTATTCAGTGTCTAAGTGTACTTCCCATAGATTGCCATTATCAGGTTGAGAATATTTCTTTCCACTCCAGGTTTGCTGAAGACATCATGTTTTTAAAGATGCCCTGTTTTGGCCCACCTAGTATACACCTTCTCTGGGCCCTACTCCTTCTCTTCTCCAGGTTTGTGGCTACTGTAGGTACTGCCACAGCCAGACAAAACTGGGGTGATCACCAGGCCCAGCTGGGCTGGAGGCACCTTCCCAGGATTTTCTCACTTGTCACCAGTGGACCTGGTCACCTTGTGTATGAATGTAGACGGCATGCCATTTTCCTGTCATCTGGGGCCTACCTACAGCAAGGAGGGAATGATAGTCATTGGAGCAGGGGCCTGGCTCTTCTGCTCTCTGACTTAACCACCTATGTCCTGGCCATCGACCTGGAGGGACAGCTCCTGATAATTTTCCAGCAAGACTGGAAATTTTTTTCCCAGTCTTTGTTTTAGTGATTTGAGAATATGCCTGTGATTTGCAAACAAAAATCTTGACTACTAATGCAGTTAAATCTGTGTACACTGCTGTGTTCTTTCTAACGGGGGCCCTAATGTGGAAGACTTCTATCTTGTGTACTATTCATTTAACACTCAGAAATAGAGATTACTTTATAACAAGCATAGAATTTCTTTGAAACGAGGAAGTCTTACAGAGAAAAGGCATTTCAGGTCTCTACCTATTTCTCAGAACCTAAAAGAGTTACTCCAAAAGGCTTTGCATGAATTTTCCTGATACTTGGCTGAGAAAAACACCCCTTTTTTATAGAGGGAAGATAATGACAGGTAGATCTAGTCCAACTCTTGTGCCATGGATTTGGGAGGTAGTGGTCCTGATTAGATGACTTTTTCATCCTTTTAATGGAAATGAATCCACTGTCCTCAATTTTTCTTTCTATTGCAAAGAAACTTTATTTTAATTAAGACTAGTCTAGAAAGAGGGACAGGCATCTTGAGCTCCCCTGCCTTACATTCCACTTGGGACTTATACCCATGGTGACTTGTCAGCCAGGTGGTACTTAGGTCCCTCAGGGTACCAGAGACTCACTGTGACCTAGACCTGATGACAGGACAGGGAGGCTCAATTCTGGTCTCATGAGAGCAAACATATTATGCTATTATGTCTTGTTTGCTCTTGGCCACAAGTCCTTTTGTAGATTTAGAATGATAATTGCACTTCCATGAAATGCACTAAAATTGTGATGCTTGACACAAAGGATGGATTTGATTAAAACAAAAATAAAGACCTTTTTTTAAAAAAAAAAATAATACCTACTCCTGCTTCCTAACAATTCAGTCCATTTGCCTTGCTGTTGTGATATGCTGATAAAGCTATCCAGGCAATCAACATTACCTCGTTACTCTGTCCATTAAGACAATTACACTTTCTGATGAGGTCATGGTTGTATTTTTCAAAGATGAAACAGCAGCGTCCCTGGGCTCCTGCCAACAGAGTTGGCTGACAGACTGGCTCCCATTTCTATTCTCTTTGATGGTAACCATCTCTGTGCTGTTATTTCCAAAGCCATGAATCCTGCTGTCATTAGCAGCTGCCCATGTGCTGCAGAAAGGCACCAGGAGGCCTGGCAATCAGCATTCCTTTCCAGAGATTTTGAGTAACAAGATCTCTGATTAAAATTCTGTTAGTTGGTTACAGTGGGATATATGGGGCCACAGGAGGCTCCATTTCTCCCATAAATCTGACACCGGGAAATGTCTAAGCTGGATTTATAGGCAAGATGAATTACAATTATGAAAGGATATGTTTGTTAATTTGTGATATTTTCCTGAATGCAGGGTTAGCAAAAGAGTAGTGAGTTGAATCAGGTGCTAAGGAAGTGATTGTTACCACTATGGAAAGCTGTGTGTTCCTCAGTCTACTAAAAATGAAGCTACCATATGATCTGGTGATTCCACTCCTAGAAATCTACCCAAGGGCACAACAACATTGACTTAAAAGGATACCTGCACCTCTATGTTTACTGCAGCAATATTTATAATAGGTAAGATATAAAAACAACACATATGCCCCCAATAGAGGGCTGGAGTAAGAAGATGTGTCATACATACATAATGGAATACTCTTCAACAATCAGAAAAAATAAACTCATGGAGAGCTAGAAGGGATTATGCTTAGTGAAATAAACCAGAAAGAAAAAGGAAAACATAGGATGATCTTACTTATAGGAGGAATACAGGAGAACCAAATAAGGAATCGGGGGAAAATAATAACAATAAACCAAAACAAAACAAAATTAACAGGCAACTATAAATCAGACATTCTGCAGCAGATGGGGAGGGAGAGAGATCAAAACAGATACAAAGGACTTTGGTGATGGTGTACGGGTGAATTGGTAATGGACATTCTATGACGACTACATCTGCAAAGAGAAAGAAAATATTGTACAAAAATGAACAATATTGTAACATATAAATAAATGAATAATATATATATATGTATATATATATATATATATATATATATAAGAATGTGGTTTTCACATGGTGCTCAGCATGTGGAGCTTCTGTTCCCACGTGGAGTTGCTCTGATTGGGTGGTGTATGGAGGTGAATTGTTAAGATATAGATGAAATCTGAGCTAAATTCCTCTGTGCTTTGGTGGGAAAATCCATTTAAGGCTGAAATTAGTTCAAGGACCATTCTTCAATGAGGTCATCCTTGAAAATGGAGACCATGTGCAGAATTTATCTGAACCTGCAGAAGTATGTTACCTAAAATTAAATTTCTCTAAGGAAATTATCCAAATTAAGGCTTAGCTCTATGTTAAAATATTTCTAAGAAATTTTCAAAACCAGGTCCCCATTAAATAAGTGATGAAAAAATGTTTCTATTCCTGATTGATACCAAATTTATCTTTGATGTAGTTTAACATGACACAGTGACATTTGGGGTAGTAAAATGTGAACACAGCATCTGTAACATAAACCTTCTAAGCTACCGAGACAGTAGCTTATACATTTCCTGTCAAACCAATCCGTATCTTTACTGATTCAACAGGACAATATTGTTGGCAAATGAACACTACATTTCTATTCCAAAAGAACAACAGAAATTACAGATTATATACATCTGGAAGTCATAAAAAAGAACACCTGCTATCATCTTTAAAAAAAAAGAATGTAGTTTTAAGAAAAAAGTAAATTATAATCTGTGCTTCCCTGAGTAAGACAATTGTTGCTGGAGTCAAGTGGAAATAAGTACCCTCTATCTGTGGGCCCCTGGCCAATGCGTTATTGGGAAAGTCCCCTCTCCTGAGGCAGCAGATCCAGGACAGGTAAATGATGCACTTAGGCAGATGGCTTGTCCTACCAGTGGGGAAGAGATATGGGAATATTAAATTGCTTTCAGGCACCAAGAAAACATCAATATTAATCCTATGGCTCTTGAGTTCAGTCTACTGTTTTGTAGATCTTGTCACTTGATTTGCAAGGAGACACTGTTTTTTAATATCATGAGGTCCAAGATGGTATTCTGGAAAGAATAATATGTTTGGTGCCCACTCTGCTTTTATCTATCAGTCATGTGACCTTGACTTAGTAAGTCACTAACATACCTGTCAGCCAAGATTTTCTCAACTGTGAACTGGGTTGATTGTTCTTTTTATCATGATTTTGGCCATCACATGAGAATCTCCACCGAAGTTCTATCTACACTGAGGATTAGTAATAAAGGTGAGGAATTCCCCCCCCCCCTTTTTTTTTTGCTGCTTCAGTGACAAGAAATGAGATGGTCACTAGAAAAGGCCTTTAACACACCCAAAGAAGTCAAGGGCTTCAGTGAATTATGCTCAGCAAGGCCTTCATTACTTGCTCCCCCATCTTTTTCAAGTACATCAGGTCTTCGAATAACATTGTTTTCTTCCAAGTTGTCTTATTACAATGTTAAGGAAAAAGGAATCCCAGCTGCTGCTGAATAAATGATGTCATTTAAGGTTTCATTGTATGCCTGTTCACTTAAAGTCACAATTTCCAATGCTCAATTGACATTAAGTGAGACTTACAATACTACTTCAGTTCTCCAGATCCACAAACTCTGAACTTGAGCTTGGGTTTATAATTAATTATTTTCAAAGCTGAGGCTATTTGTACGTTCATAGCATCACTCTACCAGTCAAAAGAGAGGGAGAAAAAGATAACCATTGTCTAAGAAGAGCTTACAAAGGACAGAGGCACTAGACAGGGAGAAAACACTAGTTTAGGTATAATAGGATACAGCAGTCTGGGTCTTCATTCTATGCACTGTTTGCAGCAAATGCAACTTAGCTAGCCTTAAAAGTTCCCCAAAATCAAACAATGAAGAAATAGAGAACAAAACAAATTGGAGAAGGTGCATCAGACAGAAAGGCAGAAGGCTGAGAATTACCTGGTGTGACTGTTGGAGGACAGGCTCTCCCAGGGTTGGATGCTGCACCCCGGCACTGCGAAGGCCCCCCCACAGCTGCCATCTAGCTTCATAAGGAGAGCCTTGGCTGCATTCTCGGCCATCTTCCGGCAGTCATGGGCTTGCTTGAGCATCTGAGTGACGTTTTCATCTCCTGACTGGTCTCCTAAATGTCAGGGAAGGCAATGGTTTAATCAATGTCATCTAAACCTGGAAGCGAGCATGAATAATTTGTTCTCAGTTACTCCACGTGGAGGAGGGTGGTGGGGAGGACCAAGCTGTGTGTGGCTGGCACAGAGATGGAGTTCTGGATTTGTCAACTAGAAGCTGGACTTGGGAAGATATTTCTCTGCTCTAGGCCCTCTTCTCATTGATAAGTGATAGACAAGTCCATGTAATCTGAGATCTGTTTCTGCTGCTATCTGACTGATTTTCTAATGATCTAGAGTCCTGGCTTCCTGTTCCATTCTGTCAAAATCTACTTTGTATCATTCTTCCCTGTGTTGGTACTTCTTTGTGAATGAGGGCAGGGAGAAAGTGAAGTAAAACTGTGCCAGATCTCCACAGCTTTGGGTAGAGCTTTGAGCAGGTGAGAAAGAAACTAGAGGGGACTATACCAGAGATGATACCGCATACATCATCTAAAAATGAAGAATGATGTAATACACACACACACACACACATAAAGGTCAGACAGAGGCCCTCCCTGGTGATGCAGTGGGATAAAGCACAGCACTAAGAAGCTAAAGCCATTCAGCATGAGTTCAATTCCCGCCCTGGAGGTGATCCACATCGCGTGGCAGACCTCTCCTGACCTGCCCGCTGCTCCCTTCAGCAGAGTACTTCATCAGTCTGTCTGTCTTGCTCCCCACTCTGGAAGCCTCTCACAGCCCCTGCACCTCTGGCCTGTACCCCAGTTCTGTATGCATAAATAAAGAAATCTTTAAAAAAAAGGTCAGACAGAACAAAACAAACAATAAACTCTGAAGTTTGACTGTAGAATTGAGGCTACAAGAGGAAGGAGTTGGAAAGCAGGATGTGGAGGGGCTAACTGGACTATGGTGTAGGAATATGGATGCCATGCTGATGGGTGTGGTGTGGAAACAGACTTTTGAAGAGGTGTGACTCTATACATCTGAAGCATATCATAGTTATCATAAGTGTTATAAATTAATGTAACTTTAAAAAATACAAAAATAAATTAGGCAGACAGTGATGCAAAATAGAAAAAGAGTCCTGTTTGGTCATGGGGTTAGAAAAGACTCTAAATTTGGATTTGAATATGTTGAATTTGATGACTCTTCAAATGTTTGAAGAGTCAAAAAAGTGGTTGGAATATGTCAATATCAAGAGAAATAAAAGAAAATAAAACCACTAAAACAAACAAAAATACCAAACCATGCTGGGACCTCTTTGGTCACCAGTCACTGCAGCATGAGTTCAATTCCCGCCCTGGGAGCTGACCCACATGGTAGAGAAGACCTTTCCAATCTCACCTGCTGCTCCCCTCAGCAGTGTATTTCAGTGGATCTACTTGCTCTGCTCTCCACTCTGTTTCTGGTGAATCCTCTCACCCCATCTCCACAGCTCTGGTCTACACCCCAATTCTTGTATGTATAAATAAATAAAAATAAATCTTAAAAAAATAGTACTCTATTAAAAAAATTAAAAACTGTGCTGGCCAAATAAGTCACCAGTCTGCAACTTCTACAGTGGAGAGTCATGTTTCCAAATATTTTCAAATGAAATCTTATTTCAAAGAATAGGATTTATATCTGGAAATGTGGAAGTTGTTTAAGGGACCAGGATGACAGGTAAACAGTCTTCCCACCCTCTAACTCTCTTCCTGGGGTCCAAGAAACTCCTCGTTTCCCATGGCACAGTCAGAAAACCAGTGACTGACTAGATGTTCTAGAATGAGCATAATGAAAGTCTGTGACGTAAAGAAGAAACAAAGAAAAGAACACCAATGTTAATAATGTAAATATAAATGTCACAAACTAGCATTTGCTTTGCTGTACAACTCGTGAAGGCAGAGGGTGACAGTTCAGCCACTGTTGTCAGCAGCATTGGGAGAGTGGGAAGAAGTCTGGGTGCCCATGTCCTACAGAATTGGGGCTCCCTGGACGGCTGTTGGCATCTCCTTGACAGCTTTCTTTCTCATCTTCCTTCCACAAATAAGAAATTTTACAGACATGGGTGACTTGGTGATGGGAAACCCATGGGGATTACAATTGAGAAAAAAAAATGTACAAAATGATGTAAAAATAAACTATTATATTATAAAAAAGAAATTTTACAGAAAGCTCACCAGCAGACTGCTGTTTGTATGCTGTTCTGAAGAAGGGATGATACTAATGACCATTTCATTTTGTAAATATATTCATAAGTTACCCAGGACTTCATTAATACAAAACATTTCATTATTGGTTTTAAATATTTTAAATGCAGATTTGTTTAAGCCCTGAAAGCACCCACAAAGCAACTGTGCTGAATAGGTAGAGCCTCATAAAAACCTGATGAAAAGCCTCGCTTTTGAGAATGGAATGATTTAAGACACTCCTTGATACAAAATGAAAATAAAATGATTGATTTTCCCCCTCTAATTGATCATTTACCTTTATACATATATTTTTAAAGAATTGATAGCAGGCCAAGATCATTTTAGGATCTATTTCACATGAAGAATAAAGTTTATGGTTCAGTTAAGAGACCCCTGAAAAATGAGGTTTCTAATGGAAATGTTGGCAGTGGTTCTACTCCTGGGTTGGGAGATGATGCTATTAAAAAACACAACAGAGAGGAGTGGAAGGTAGTTACTCTACAAATAGAGAGTTTTTGCCTTTCTGGGTAACTTGGATATGAAGTTACCTTCTCCCTTGATCTCCTCTCTTTTCAGGTGTCATTTCCATAACTTTCTTTATCATGTTATTGCAAGAACCACAATCTGATTCACAGGAGAAATTTTAGAAACTTTGCCAACTACAATGCTACACTTTTGTTTTTCTCAAATAAATATCCCTTCCAGTTACTCAAAATTGAGGGACAGAGAGGAAGGATGGTGCTGATGTAGGGGTACAAAGCAGGCCACCAGGACCATGATCCCTTGTGAGAGAGGACTAAGGGGGGAAGGGATTTGAGGAGAAGCAGCAGACTGCATGACCTGGCTTGGGGTTAGCACTGTAGGAAACAGACAAGGTGTGAAACCAAGTCCTCTGTATTCCTGGAGATGAGGTAGAGGGAAACCCATACTTCAAATCAACCTAAAGGAGCAACCTGGAGAAAGAGCATAGCCAATAAAAATAGCAAGACAAATAAAGGCAAGTGGACCCTTAGCAAACAGCATTGCAGAGACAGGCTGGTCCCTTTCATCAGGAATGTGGGCCTCTGGCTCCATCTGGCCTAGGACCACCAGGGAGGATATGTTTCCTGAGAGGCCTTGTTTGTTTAAACTTGTCTGTAATTCTGTTTCTGCTCCACTTCTTTCTGTATCCAACGTAAATTTACTAAGTCATGAGGAAAAAACAAAAGATACGCTTGACAAGTGAATTTCACATCAGGATGTATACAGTATGAGCAGCCATGATAGGGCTGGAAAGTAAGTCGCAGTGGCAGAGGAAGAGGGCCAGGGCCAGGGGAGGACTCACCTGGGGAGGACCCCACGCCAGCTGCCCGGAACTGTCCTAGAATGAGGCTCTGTTCACTGTCAGCCAGTGCCAGAAGGAGCTCGTAGGCTTCTATGCACTGCTCACTGAAACACAAGCAGAAGTGGTGGCTGCAGTGGGCAGCGGGTAGGTATTTTCCTGTTGTGCACGCCCAGGGTGGAAGGTAGCTCTGACCTGTCCCCATGAGCGAGAAGCCACTTATGAATATTCTTTAGACAGTTTCAGGAACTTGCCTGGCTATCTTGCCACCTGCCATTTGTGGACAATTTAAAGTAGGATCTAGAAAAAAATTGCAGGACAGCAGCATAGCACAGAGGCTGATTTGTTGTTCTTTGATCAGCTAAAAGGAAGGTCATACCCGTGGTGGCCAGACTCTAATTTGGCCCCCAACCCTTGCAGATGGTATCTGCACTCCATTTTAGCTCCTTCAACATGCTCTTGGGCTAGTATGTGTGACTAAGAGACTATAGCAGAAGTGAGGGGATGCCACATCCAGATTAGGTTATTATCAGTAAAATCACTGTGACTTCCTTCTTGGTCTCTCAACCTTATGCTAGATCATCCTTTCTAGAGAAGCCCAGCTTGAAGGTATTTTTAAGTCGCCCTAGGGAAGACTCACATGACGAGGAAGTACGGCTTCCAACCAATAACCAACAAAGGACTTAGGATTCCATCTGACAATGGGTTCATGAGTCATCCAAATAGATCCCCCAACTCCTGGTAAGATTTCAGGTGTCACAGCTCTGGATGCCAGCCTGACCAGAACCTAAGTTGCACAACCTAGCTAAACCATCCCCAGATTCCTGACCCTTGGAACTATGGCATAATAGTCATACAATAATAGGAAACTAGTGTAACATCCCAAAAAGGAGACTATTTTGACCTAGGTGTATATAATTCAGTATAGTAGCCACTAGCTAGTGGCTATCTAAATTGAAAATAATTTACTTAAAATGAAAAATTCAGTTCCTTCATACTAGTAGCTATATTTTATAAGTTTAATAGTCATGTGTGGCTGGTGGTTACCATACTGGACAGCACTGGTGAAGAACAGGGCCAGCATCACAAAAAATACCTATTAGATTTGTAAATTGTCTCATAAAACACAAAACTTCTGACAGAGTTTTTGGATTTCTAGAAAGAAGACAACCCCTCTCCTTGGCTGTTGTCATCACAGGGCATACCAGGTAGAAGACTAGAGAGCTTTGCCAGTTCTACCACTGTCAGTGACCCACATGGACCCAGGTCTGCACAGGAGGCGGGTCATGTGGTCCCACACAGGATGCTTACAGCAGTGAAATTCTCTCCTGAACAATGACTGATGAGTTTCTCCAAGTTGAGCAGAGGAGATGTTCTTCTATGCAACATTTTGTCAAGAGGTGATTTTGATTGTCCTAAATCTCATCTTCCTTTACAGAGAGATAAGGAAGGGGCCCAATCATGAGCTCTGGGTGCTGGCAGCTCCCCTGCACAGGGCAGCCCATCTTCAGGATATAGATGCCAGGGAACTGCTTCATCTAAGGATGAAAGGGAGACTGTGGGCAACCACCATTATTATAAATGAATTATCTGTCAGCAATTAGTATGATTACTCTCTAGTTTTGGTCTAGTATATTTTGGTTTGATTTTGTTTTTCTGAAGAGGCAGGTTTTTAAAAAATAACATGGATTTTTAGAGGATGCTAAGAGTAAGATACAGTTACTACTCTGGGCCTTGGCAAATATGCCTAACTGGTGACATTAATTAAATAATTCTATGAACACAATTTTTGTAGCATTGAACAAGCAGCCCAAAGTTGATGAAAAATAGTGGCACATTCATGTACTACTTTCTCCTCAGTGAATGAATCACATTCATTTGGCTGGCTTGTTTCATGGGGAGAGAGTGGTAACACATCTGACAGTCATGGAAATATTCATGTCCTGTGACCTATAATTTTAGCTTCAGGGATTTTACCCCTAGGTAAATATTCAAAGGAATGAAACTATTATCTGGGTAAATCATTCATCATAAAATTATTTTCAATATCAAAAGTCTGCAAAAATCTAAATGTCTTTTATAGAAACAATTAACTAGCAATATTTAAATGGTGCACAGGGACAGTCATTCAAAACAAGGGGAGACTGAGGGCTGAAGAAATAGAAATTACATTTATAACAATGTATGTGAATATATAGGATATACGGAAAGAACAAAACTAAACGAATATGTAATGCATACAGCTGGTATTTTGCACTTGATCTTAGCCAAAAGGCCAAGAAGCACTGATATTTTGAGTGACATTACTTGAATAATATTTAAGATGACTATGCTGCAGAAATATATCTGTATACTAAAACCATATTCATTGTCCTCATTTTCTTAATTGCATGGCACACTAACTGGTTTTCTAGGTATCACACCAATACTTGTATCTATTTCCCCAATTATATCTTTCATAAGCCTGATTTCTACGTTCACACAGAGGTAACTCTATCTACATCTTCAACTACCGCGCCCCACACCCATCCCCTTTCTCTACCTGTACTGGAGGGCCAGCCTTAGTGCTGTGCCATTGGATTCGTATTTGCCCACCAGCATGCTCATCCTCTCAGCATTGCTTTTGCATTCTTCCAGGGTGATGGTCAGGAGGTCATTTTGGGATTTGAGATGTTCAATACGGCTACAAAAGAAAAAAAATACTATTTTTGCAACTTCAACCAGGATTCTAATGACTTTGCAATATTTTAGTTGATCAGGCCAGAAATGCAGGTCAGGATGTTTGTCAGGTGTTTATGTAAATAATACAAAGCTATAAGAAAACAACTCTTGGTAAAAAGAATCACTGAACACTGTGATTTAGAAAAAAATATAAGCTCCCATCTTGCCATCCTCATGCCATATGCTAGATACTATCTGGATTTTGGGGATACATGGGAAGTGAGAAAGCCATTTGACAATATGAAAGCAAATGCTTCAATAAATCACCCTCTACAGCGACAAGTGAGAAGAAGCAGTGGCACAGTAATGGCTATTATTCATTGAGCACTGCTTAATAATCTTCCCAATGGCCCTTGAAATAAGTATTATATTATCCCCACTTGAAATAAGTATTATATTATCCCAGATAAAGAAAATGTGACATGGAAAAATTAACAACCTTGACCTGAGATTTGAACTCAGACCTTATACTATTAACTACTCACTACAGAGCAGAATCAAAAAATGAATCAGTTAAGAAATGAGAACTAGCCCTTTGGGGTCTTTGAAAGGGAAGTAAATGAGGTCATAGGTTGTATTCAAAGGACCTTTGGGATAATATGTCCTGCAACTCTTAACTACAGGTGAGAACTTTAGTTTTATTGGAACCTGAACTGTAAATTCAATTTATGGCAATGTTGGAAAAACATAATAAACTTTCAGCTTCTCAGTCTTTTGTTCTAGGATACAAATGCCCTAGATATGGTGATATGTTTCCCATGGGGCATGCCCATTTGTAGTACTCTGATCAGAGTATTGAGTGGCTGGCCAGTCATGGCCGAAGGGATGAGCCTGGGCAGCACCATCTCAGGATGGCACATGGAGAGGCTTGCCCATGTGCACATCTGCGGCAGTCTTTGGCAACTCCCAGTTCCATTCCATGCTAACACACTTTTCTGTCCTCATTCACTCTAAGACTTCTTGAAACACTCCCCCTATGCTTTCAGCCCCTTTTAATTAGATGAAATGTTTACCCAGTTCACAGACTTCCATATTAATGACCTCATCTTAGGGAATTTCTAGGAAACACCCTACTAACAGGCTACTAACCTTAATATGTTGTTCCTCTACTTAGGTCATGACAGGTCTTCACTGGTTAGTCTTCTGCCATAAAAGGTATTTCTTCTGTTTCCTTACTTTCTATAGAGTTTGTGACAATTGTATACCTTTGGCTCATTCCCAGGCTCCCTTCCTCTAAGAACACTCTTTTCATGGTGGTGATTTTACCCAGTCCCTGACTTTAATAGACATTATGTTCCCAAATAACACTAGGCAAGAGCTCTTATCTGAGTGTCTGCCTCATGTAGCCACCATTTCCTGATAATTCCACTTGCATGTCACAATGACACCTCAAATTTAACATTCCCAAATGGGACTCTGACTTTTACCCAAACCTTGTCCTGCCCTAGCTCAGTAAAGGCCACAACTACCGGCCTATGATATAGGTGGCACCCCTCAGAATTTTTTTTGAGAGCCATCCCTTTCTTTTATAGCTGGATCTTACCTGGTGGCAGTTTTCACTGACTATACCACCAAACACTGAGCCCAGCTCTTGCCCATCATCTCCACTTTGGCCACACTGTTCCACAGCAATATTCTCCTTGATTCCATTTGTGTCCCTCACCTCTTGATTCATCACATCCGAGTGATCTTTCACAATTAAAATCAGATCTACTCTTCTCTAGGTAAGGCCCTTTAATGTCTTCCAGTGGCTCTTAGAATAGAGTAAATGGTCTCAAAGCCATGTCCCAGTGGTCCTGCCTATTCTGCCCCCATATCTGTGCCCCCTTTCACTAATTCTATATCAGTTTCATTGACCTCCGGGCAGCTCCTACTTCATGCCAAACTCTTTCCAGCCTTTCTGTTAAGACTCTTCTCAGTTTGTCACATGACTGCTATTTTTATTTCTTGAAATCTCAACCTAAACTTTCATCTTTAGGGATGCCAATTTAAAATTAACCCTTCCTTTTATTCTATCACACTTCTCTATTTACTTGGGGCTTCCTTACCCTATTGCTTACTTGTTTGCTTTTGTTCAGCTCCCATAATAGAATATAAGCTCACGAGAGCAGGGGCCTTGTTATTCTGTTGCATGTCAAATAGCTCAGTACATTGTAGGAGCTTAATACTGATTTGACAAATGAGGAGGCACACTTTTGAGTAGGTTATGACCACGTTTTGCCATCCCTCCACACCCACTCACTCACAAACACAATCACAAAGCTATCTGCCATTTCAGGAAGCATAATATGCCTTCAATTTGAGATTGGTGAACATACTGGTGTATTATTTCTAAGAACCCCCTTATTTTAGCAGGAGATATGATCCTATAGAGGACAAGGGAGGTGAAGTCAAAGGGCAAGTATTGGAATTCTTTTCTGGCTAGGTGGTCAGGCTGTCTCATAGCTCTGGGTTAAGGCAAGTTACTCAGCATCAAAGACTTGCAACTTAATGAAGTCTTTGTTTTTCCATTTTAATAGAAAAAGTGGAACTATTCTGCCTGCACAAGTTGTGTACTGAGTGGTTGTCTGTGAGAACTCTTTGTAAGCTGTTAAACACCATAAAGATGTGAGCTACAAGCATAAACTATTTCCTCCTTCTTTGGCTTTCCAAGGTATGTAATCGAAGAGAAAGGAACCTCTCCTGAGTTCAGATACAAAACAGGCTTGTTAAATTCCAGAATCTGTGGAGAAGAGCTCCTCAATAAACAGAGGGCCTTTGAAAGCATCTGACTTCATTAAGTTGCATGGGGTAGATCTGATTTGAAATTTTTAAGAACTCTGAGCTTGTGATACTGAGAGTGCTACTTCTTTCTTGCTATAATAATTAATACTCTTAAGTATTTTGGGCTTAATGAAGAAATTCTTTAATTTGAAAATTTAAAATGACCTAGATTCCCACATTTCCTTAGTTCTCAAGTGCTATATTAAACAGCTTCCATTGAAGGAGGACTAACATAGTAATTCAGTGTATTCAGGATTGCCAGACACAAGAGGAATGGCATTAAGCAATGGTGGATGAGAAACAGTATCCATATTTCCTCCTGGTTAGCTTATGCCTTTCGGATTTTTACTGTGCTCTTTCTGAAGGTGGTTAGGTGAAGGCAATCATACACAACTGATGTGATTCAACAGTCTATCCTGCCACTGGGGGACCAATTATGAGTCAGAGTGGTTAGAATAGGTTGGCTCTGGTGTGTCTTTGCTTTTTTCGTAACTCCCTCATAAACATCTATGACAGAGGAAAAAGTGTGAAATTAAGCTGCCTCTGTTGTGACATTTGGCAGAAACCCATTAAAACCCATAATTCATGGTAAAACACTTCTAAGGGACAGGTGGACCTCCCTGGAAAATCATTCTAAGCAGGGCAAAGGACAACAGGATGTAGGGACGAAGGTTGTGCACAACCTTCAGTTTGCATAGATTATAAAACAGCTCTCAGGGAGCCCATAGGGAGGCCTGGGAGAGTTGGATCAGAGTGCCAACTCAGTCCCTGGATGCCTCCATCAGACTGCTTTTGCTGGTACCAGGTAGCTCCAGGCACCACTAGAATACAGAGTCAACATTCCAGAGCTCCCTGTGGTTCTGCATAGTCTGTAACTATCCCGGCGATTTTGACACCCTATGTGGACTGCTCCCCAGACTTGAAGCATAATTGCATGGGCCAGGGCAAAATAAAAAGGCAGGAAACCTGGTTCATAAATTATGAAGAATTTAATATGGCAATAGCAGAGCATCAAAGCAAGCATGAGGTCTGTCTAAACATGATTCGTATGCATATGTCACAGGCTCATGAAGCCAGCCCTGATAGCTGTGGTCACTTTTTTGATGAGCAAGATGATGAGCAATACAGTTATGTGTCACTTATAGACATTTCAGCAATGGACACCCCATATTATGATGGTCCCGACAGGCTATACTACATGTAATGGGTGTGCAATAGGCTACACCATCCAGTTTGGGGCAGTTACACTTGATAACAGTCACAATGCCAAAATCATTAAGGATGCATTTTTCAGGATATTTCCCTATTGTTAAATGGCACATGGCTGTACACAAATCAATCTGAATCAGTCTCTGGAAGGGAAAGTAGGGGCAGTTCCTCCACCAACACTCAAACACATAGGATTTCTCCTTACCTATTTAACCGTTCTGTTTCCACCTCAAACTCTCTAATTTTGCTTTCCGAGATAGCCGATCCATGTGAGTAGAGTGTCTGAAAGATCTCTTGAATGTTGGAGCAGTCCTGAAGAGAATGGGCCAGGTGTTCTGCCACACTGCTGGATACCTGTACAGGTGAGCAATGATTCCTCTGTGGACAATGCCACTTTAGGGATACCAGTTCCCACAATGCTTTGCATGGAGAATAATTTAAAGCTAATCTTCTTTAAGAATCGGGCATCAGGGGGTGTTTACATTGTGTAACACAACCTTCCTCAGGTTGTGTAACAATTCTAGTGTTAAAAACTCATTACTGTAAAAGCAGTACATAATAAGGAACAAATAGAGCTGGATCGTCATGCATGGGATGGTGGGCAGAAGGTGCAGCTGATCATGTCTCTTTGTGTGCCTCAAGCTTTGAGTATTGGACAAAGTCTGGGCTCCCTTCTACTTCCTTGAACCTCTGCAACTCTAGGCCCTTGTCCCTGTTGAAGCAAAGGAGATCAGCTGACTGCTGTATTTTTACAAATTAGCTTTGCTGTGAAATCTGAGTGCATGCAATTTTTCTTCAGTGCAAAGTTCTAAATTAAGCTTTGAAAGTGCTATTCAGACTCTCTCTACCCACAGGGATCAAAGAGCTAGTTCTCTTAGTCTTATTCCCCATCATGAAAAGATATCCACCTGGGAACTGAAACAGCTCCCTTTACACCATCCATTAGCGCCTGCAGTCCCAAGGGACACAGGTGTTACAAATGAAAACTTGAGTGCCTCTAGAAGGTTCTGGTCTTTCAGAGCATCGGGCTAACTTCAAAGGCAGCATTCATCCTCAGTGGAGAGTATGCTTCCTTTCAAGAGGGATGTGTAAGGGTAAAGTGCTTTTAGCCGTTTATGACTCAAACATGTTTGTGAGGCAGTAGGTGACATAAAGCAGATATTTCAACTATTTCATCTGAATCACCATATATCAACAGTAACATTTCTTTCTGAATGGCTTCAAGTAGAGAAAAAAAATCTCCCTTAAGGCTGAAAAAGTAATTTACCATGTGGAAACCACGATATATTTTAATCTGAGCTTCAGAAGGAAATTGGGTCTGATTTATTATTATAATTAACTCATTTACTGGAGGTGAACCAAGGATATTCTTCTATCGTCTAGAAACGAGTATCTCTGTGGCTCTACTGGGTGTTTTCTGGCCATGCTTCTCAGGAACACTTACCCCTATGCTGCTGATTTCTGAACCCAAGACAGGTCTATCAGATGATGAAGATTCAGACCTGGTTTTTGATAATTTCACCCTCTCAGCAACCTGAAAAAAACAAAACAAAATCTAAAAATGCCATATTGCTCTTCACATAAATGTTGGGACTGTGTTATAGAGCTCTTGTTTCACCATGACAACTACATCAGTTAATGAGTTTTAAAAACCAGTTCACTTACCTAATTTTTCTACCAGTGGCTTAATCTATTATCATTTTGAACTGGGTTAGTACACATTGAGAGTGGGAAAGAGGGCTTGTTTTGTACCTTGTGGGATAATTAGTTGCCTCCCTGCTTTTAACCATAAAATGTCAGGAGCTTCCAGCTGTTACCACCAAAAATAGCTAGAGACATTGCCATATCCCATGCAGTACAAACTTATGTTGGGTAAAGGAACAGTGATTTGACCTAACATACCTGAGGGTTGAGAACCAACCTTGTGGAGAACATGCAAGAGGATCAGTGGAAAGTGTTCTGGGGTTGACTCAACATATTAGTCAGTGGGGCTACCTATTACAAACCCACAACTTGCCCTTCACATATTGTTTTTCTTCTTGTGGGGTTATGGGCCATTCAGTGGGGAGATCACTGGTTCATTATTCAGAACCCACCTGGACTGAACCTTAGAAGACAAACTTTAATCCACCTGAAATATTATAGAATCTGACAAACCACCTCAATCTCCACAGTGACTTGTCAGCTGTGATATGTTCCAACTGGCTGGCCAGTGAGAGCTGGCATCCATAGAGCAACCGACAGACACTCGAAACTCTTTGTCATGGGCCTCCCTGGTGGTGCAGGGGTTAAACACAGTGCTATCAAACTATTTCCAGCCACCAGTTTTGTCCCTGGCTAGCCAGGAAGCTAGCTAGCCACATGGTGCAGCAGATCTCTCCTGTCTCACCTACTCCTCTCAGCAGTGCATTTCAGTACATCTGCCTGTTCTGTTCCCCACTCCATCTTTGGTTAATCCTATCATCCCCCAACTCCCCACACCTCTGACACCTACACCCCAGTTCTTGTATAAATAAATAAATAAATAAATAAATAAATCTAAAACAAAAACCATAAAACTCTTTGTCAGTTATCCCTCTCTCTGATGTCTGGGACAGCAGAGGCCTGCAAGAGCCATGAGAAAGCCTCTGGTGATCAGCTAAACTGATCACATATCTGTACAGTGGGGTAAGCTCCTTGGAGGCTGGTGACCCAGATAATAGAAGGGAGCCCCAGCACTGTCCCAAGGAAGTTACCTTGGCGATGGGAATGTCATTGCTGCTGCTGCTTGTGCTCAGCTCTCCTGTGCTGGGGTTGACAGGGCGGTTGGAGGAAGTGAGGCGTCCAGGGCTGGAGGGTCCTGTGGCCTGCACACTCTGTAGTCGTGTTTGAAGCTCCCGAACCTGAAAGCATAATTTCTTTAGACATAGTTGGTCACTTGCCTGGCCAAACAGCAAAATAGCGACATGAATGGATGGCCAATTTTCATTTACAGGACAGGATCAGCTCCATTCAGAAACTGAGATGAATGAGTCTACATAAGGTCACTGTCCTCAATTAGACTTGCTACTGGACATCATCTATTCTCTATGAGTATGAGGTGAACATGTTATCTAAGGCAATAGAAGTTTCCAGCAGAGGTGTAATGACTATCTTTAAGGAGTATTTGTCTATTCAGCCTCATATAACTGTTGCCGTCTGCAGACAGAGAACCCAGAGTGAAATCTCCACTCCCACAGACCTTGGGGATCAGAGCAAATGTAGGTAGGTAATATCAACACAAGTACACACAAGTGCTAAATATCTAGAGGAGCTGTAGGGAGAAGACCAGGATGAATGTGACCACCTGAACCTATTTGCTAAGCATGGGGAAAGAAAGAGAAGGACACTTAAGCAATCTTACAAGAGCTATAGAAATGGCTAAAAGTTTGGTTTTTGTGGTGTTCTTATTGAGTCAGGGTGAGACCAAATCACACAAGATGATATGCTGCATTTGAAGAACTGCAAGTTATTCAATATGTGTGATGCATAGAGGTCTCTGCATTTGGAGGAATTGAGACTGGAATGAAAATGGAGATAGCACCAACAGTTTTGCCCCAAGATGGAATTATTCCAGGGGTGTCAGAAAGGCATATCTAAACAGTCTTTCTGTATAAAAAAGGAACACAGGGATGGAACTGGAAATGATCATGAAATAAGCCAGAATGAAAAAGAAAAATACCAGATGGTTTCACTCATACCAGGAGTGCAAGGGATCAGGAAAAAAAAATGTATATATATGTGTGTGTGTATATAATATATATATATTACAATTTATACATATAAATTATATAATATATATTATAGAAATATAAATATATACAAGTTATATATATATTATATATAATATATATTATATAAATATAAATATATATAAATTATATATATATATAAACTGTAATAAAGTATAAAAGAACATCTAACAACTGCAAGCTAGAGATTTTCTATGGGAGAAGAGAGAGGAACAAGATCCAAATGGGAATGGGAAGAGCACACAGGGCTATGGTGATGGCACGTGGGTGAAGTGGTGGTGGGAAGTCCACAGGATTACAACTGAGATGAAAAAAATGTACAAGATGAAGAATCATAAAAATATATATACATATATACTTAAAATAAAATAAATAAAAAGCAAACACAAGGTCCTTTGAATGACATTTAACCACATATTTACTTGCACAGAATTTAAATGTCCAAATCCTGCTTCTCAATGGTTAGTGATCAGTGACTTCCAAAGAGAGAAGTGTTTCAAGGAAGTGAACAAAATTATTTGGAATAGTTTTCTTCTCCTGATGGCCTTAACCACCATTTGATCACTGAGTACAATGTGTATCTGAAAGGGGTACCTGACTACAACATATAACGGCCTCATTGGAAGGAATAAGCATGGGAAGAACCGAGGCAGAATTTTCCAAACTTGGTCTATCAGAAAGTTAAATAACTGAAAGCTTATTAAAACACAGAGCCCCAAAAATAATTATAAAAAAAATTTTAAAAATCAACAGGGAATCAAAACCATCCACCAGTTTAGCAAGGTAGCAGGTTATAAAATCAACACACAAAAGTCAGAGGTTTTCCTATACAACTAACAGAAGAAGCAGAGATTAAAAAAAAAAACAAAAACCATCCCCTTTTCAATTAAAACAAAAAAAATCAAATACCTGGGAGTCAACATAACAAAGGAGGTAAAAGACCTCTACAAAGAAAATTACAAAACACTGTTAAAAGAAATACAAGAA